TACCACGAGGTAATTTCTCCGACACCAGGTGTAGCACGGCGGAGATGAAAATCGAGAAGAGTGTTGGGGCTATGACACAGCCCTGCTTGACACCAGTCTTCACTACAAAACTTTCGGTAGACTCGCCATCAATAAGTACTGATGCAGACATGTTGTCATGCAGCAGACGGATCATTCTGATGTATTTCTCTGGGCATCCAATTTTAGAGAGCACTTTCCACAGTGTTGGCCGATGTATGGAGTCAAATGCCTTAGTCAGATCAATGAAAGCCTTATAAAGGTCTTTATGCTGTTCCCTGCACTTTTCCTGAATCTGTCGTGCCGAGAAAATCATGTCCACAGTCCCACGTGCTGGTCTGAAACCACATTGAGACTCTGGAAGGACCTCCTCGGCAATGGGGAAGAGGCGGCATGCAAGGATGCGAGCAAAGATCTTCCCAGCAATGGAAAGCAGGGATATACCTCGGTAGTTTTCACAGTTTGCCTTGTCGCCTTTCTTGAAAATGGTGACAATCAGAGCATCTTGAAGATCGCTGGGAATTACTTCCTCGTCCCAGATTCGCGTGAAGAGTACATGCAGTTTCTCAATGAGAGCTGGACCAGCAGCCTTGTATGCTTCTGCAGGGATACCATCAGGGCCAGCAGCTTTGCCTTTCTTCATAGCACCTATAGCTGTGGCAATATCCTCTAGAGTCGGTGTCTCGTCAAGATGGCTTTTTACGGAGAGTTGAGGCAAATTCGCAATTGCGTCAATGTTCACCGAGGGAGTCTGATTCAGTAACTCACAGAAATGTTCTTTCCATCTGTCACGAATGCCAGCCAAGTCCTTGTCAAGGGTTCCATCCTTGCCTGCAACTGGCCTAACACCCTGGGATGTTGGCCCTTACATCTTTTTGGTGGCTGCAAAGAAGGCTTTGCTGTTATTGCTGTCGGATGAGCTTGAATCTCCTGTGCTTTTTGAATCCACCAATTATTTTCCATCTCACGGACCCGGCGTTGGACTTTGGATCTCATTTCGTGGTCTTGTTGTTTCTTTATAGCGTTACTGATTTCATTCTGCCAAACAGAGAATCTTTTACGTTTCTCAGCAATCATCTGCTCTATCTCTGCGTCATTGTCATCAAACCAGTCGTGATGGCACCGCCTCTAGCTGCCTAGTGTTTCGTCACAAGCTGTTTTAATAGCTTCACAAGCTGTTTTTTGTCACAAGCTGTTTTAAGCCTTCCCAGAGACAATCAACATCGATGTCATCAACGTGTAGCAGCACTGCAGTCAGTTTGGACTGGAACTCAGCTTGTTTCTCAGGGTGATCAAGCCGTTTCGGCCGTTTCGGCGTCATTCTCTGCTTGCGAATGACAAAGGACATAGAGGATCGTAATAGCCTGTGATCGGTCCAGCACTCGTCAGATGATGTCATTGTCTTGGTGATCAGAACGTCTTTTCTGTCACAGCAACGTACAATGACATAGTCAATCATATGCCAGTGGCGTGATCTAGGATGTCTCCATGAAGTCTTATTCCTGTTCTTTTGGCGGAAGAGGGTGCTTGTTATCACCAGCTGGTGCTCCGCACATTGGTCAGGAGTTGGATCCCATTGGAGTTAGCATTGCCTACCCCTTCCTACCCAATGACATTTTCCCATACAGAGTGATCTCTGCCAACCCGAGCATTGAAGTCACCAAGGAGAATGATCTTGTGATTGGATGGAATCTGTGTTAACACAGAGTCAAGAGTGGAATAGAATATCTCGTTATCTTCAGGTTCAGCCTGTAGAGTTGGTGCATATGCGGAGATTACTGTCGCTTGCTGATTGGATTTTAGCATCAAACGGAGTGTCATCAGGCGTTCGCTTACACCAACCGGGAGTTCCTCCAGGTTCCTAATCAGCTCATTTTTTACGGCAAAGCCCACGCCATGTATTCTCTGTTCATTCTCCTCCTTCCCCTTCCAGAAGAAGGTGTATCCTGCTCCTTTCTCAGTCAGTTGTCCTTCACCAGCGCGACGGGTCTCTTGAAGCGCAGCGATATCAATATTATACTGGCGAAGCTCACGAGCAACGAAGGCAGTTCGCCTTTCTGGTCTCTCACTATTTTCAG